CTAGGAGGCTTCATGGGGAAGCCTGTAGGATCACTTTCAAGAACAAAGTAGAATGTCCTCGGTGGTGTGATGACAGCTACTGCATCCCGGGCTCCCTGCAGCGCACTTTCCCGGCACCCTTCCTTTAATCTGCACACTGGCCCTCGGGGGCAGGTTCGGAGTTGCTGAAAACTGGCATACATACTTAATGACCCGGTCAGGGGTGAACCCAGGTCCGACAGGACTCTAAGCTCTCAGCCTCGGACCTCAGACACGGACCACAGCAGCACACACTGCCCTCAGCCATGGCCCAAACCAGGGTGAGGGGAGCCAGTTCCCCAGAGGGCCTTCATTCCTACTCATTCATTTCCGGAGGGAAGGTGGAAGCCAGATAACCTACGAATGAGCTGTTCATTCAGTGCGGGTGGGAAGAAGTAAGAAGGAACCCCTTTCACTGAAAAGAGAAAGACTAAAAACTGCCTGGAGTCTGAACCTCAGTGCTAAAATACCTCTGGCTGCAATATCCCAGGTGAGACGCAATCCTTCCGTAACGCCTGCTTCTCCCCTAGCTTATTAGCATTTCCTTGCCATTCCCCAGAGGAGCTCACTGCTGCCGTCCTTCCCGGCTAATGACAGCTGCTTAGCAACAGGGAGCGGGTTAATAAAGCCCTGATATTGTTCCCAGCTCCACAGGCTCCACCCCTGTCTCCCATTACAGCTCATCTTTAGCCCAAAGCAACCCTGAGGTTAACAGATCTTTGATCTGTGCTGGGAGCGTCAGGAAGTGGGGCTGCCCAGGTCTGGCCTGGCGCCTGCCCCAATGCCTCCTGAGGAGAAGAGACAATTGTGAGTCTGAGAACCAAGGGGCCAGGCCAGGAACCTCTCTGCGGACCATGTAAATCCGCTCTACCACCAAAGGTTAAAATCCAACCTCAGCACCCAGTCAGAACAGAGCAAACAGAAGTACAGGCACACCTTGTTTTATTGCACTTTGCTATATTATGGTTCACAGATACTGCAGTTTTTTTAGATGTTGCACTTTTTACAAACTGAAGGCAAGATCCTCCACTAACAAAAAGCTTATGTCTTGCTTTGTTGTGCATGGTCCGAAACAGAACCCCCAACATCTCTGAGGTACTGTGGAGGCAGACACACCCAGACCTGCAAGAGGGTGGGGCAGGTCCAGGGAAAACACCAGTATTCCTGGCTGATGCCTAAGTTGAGTATGCCCTCTTTAAGCACACACATTGTTATTACAAATGTGAAAGTTCAAAAGTGAAACCTGGGACAATTTACTGTTCAACCTTAACCTTGAGTTGTCTGCAAGCCAGAGTTAGAAGCACCTTGCCCTCCGGTGTCCAGAGGAAGGGGTGACAGGAGATAATGGGCCTACAGCTGGGGGTTCAATAAGCCATGGAGAAAACAAGAAGCATTATTCTGATTCAAGGGTAAGTCTACATTAAAGTAAAAGTTTCAAAGACCATATTATGAAACAAAGTGCAAACCTGACATGACTTGACAAACCACAGAGTGGTAGGTTTGGGCCTACTCTCCAAGCCCCAGACTTCACCAGCAGAAGGGGGAGGTCACATGGGTCCTGATCCTCAGGTCTGGGGGTTCATAGGGGCTGCCTCAGTTGGAGCGGCACTGCAGCCATGCTGTGTGGTCAGGGAACAGCGCGCAGAGAACCCCTCCCTGCCAGCCAGGTTTTGCCAGCAAAGCTTCCTCACAAGGTCTCTCTACCTGTGGGGGCCTGACGGGTTTCTGGACAGGCAGGTTTAGTAACCACCAGAGCAAACACACAACAAATGCACACTGCTTGCCAGTCCCGGGAGTCCCATTCTTACCTACGGGTACACGGAACCGGGGTCTGGTGCAACTTCCCTGAGTTTGCCCAGGGCCAACTCTTGAGTCAAGGATTGTTCCATTTGGCTCTCCAGGAAGGTTCTGTTTCCAGTTTAAATGTCTCTATTCTAAAGAAATTCAGACGAGTTCACCTTACCCAGGCCCTGCCCTCCTCAGTCACTTCCTGGCCCTCCTCTAGCAAGAACAGAGGGGTCCAGGGCCCAGCATTCCCCAGAGCTCTAGGGAACGTCATGTGGCCACTCCACGGTTAATCCAGTCTCCGCAGCCTTCACCTGATCCAACCTCTCAGCACCTTCCCTGCACGCCCATTCCTCCCAGAACGAAGATGATTTCTGGATGTTGTTAGAACAGCAAGACCCAGTATAAGGCTGAATGTACTTCAGACTAAAAATGTATTCTTGAGCATCTTTCCAGAAGATGAAGGAGACTGGCATAGCAGAATCTTCAAAAAGTCAGAGAGGTGGAGTTTTCCCTCAAAATCTATCTGTTCTTCCCTCTGCCTGCCCCAAGAATCCCTGATTATGATTCCACTGTGTGATGCACGTGAATGGCTTGCAGGCCAGAAAAAAAGTTGATAATCACTGCTTTAAGCCAACCTGCTCACGCCCAGGTTGAGATTTACCTCACTGAATATCAAGTCTGACAAAGCGTGAGGATTCCTTTTTCAGTGGGTTCACATGCCCCAGCCTGAGCCTTATACTGTTGGCAGCCCCCACCCTGCACGTCCCCCCTGTGACTGTGCACCAAGCCCAACGCAGAGGCAGCAAACTGGCAGAGGCTGGCAGATGTCTTTTGTGTGGCCCACACAGTTTTCTGGAAAAGGAAATTAGCTATCAGCATTTAAAAACTGAGAAATTTCATATAATATCTCAGATTTCTGAGTTCTCTTAAGTAAAACAGAGGCCATGGCGGCCGGCCTGGGCTGGCGTTTGTGCAGGAGCTGAGTGGTCGCTGCCTCTTCAAACAGGGCAACCGCTGTCCACTTCAGCCCGGCCCAGCCCCCGCCACGGCCTGCTGTCTCACAGCTGGACAGCTTCTAGTGGACCTTTCTCACCTGACCCTGTATGCATTTAAGTTTGCAGTTCTTGGACCCAAGACACCTCCTGAGATCCAGCAGATCAGAGTTCCTCTTGCTCCTGGGCTGACTTGTGAACCCGGGTGACTAGGGTCCAATTCATAAACCCTTTCTATTTCAGCAATTGAAACTGGTCAAAAGAAGAGAATCATTCCTTCTGAAGATGATGCCCTGACTGCTGGAGAGCCTTGGGCTTTCAGGCAGGAGAAAACCACAAAAGCCCCATTGGCTCCTAGAGGCCCCTGGACTGGTTAAAAGAGAGCTAATGGTTTCTTCTCACCCTGATTGGCCTGATGTGGAATGCCTATTGCTTTTCTCCCTGCTTCTCTTTCCCCACTCCTCCATGGCCACCCACGTGTGGCTCCCATGCACAAGCTGTTTGTGCTAATTTATTTTGTTTTCTGTGGGTGCACCGGACAAAGCCTGGCATCAAACCACTCAAAATTGGGCCGCCAGCAGAGCCCTTCTGGTGACAATGACAAACAGTGGCTGACGTCAAGGGAACACAGTACAAGTAGAAAGGAGTAGAGCCCTAATACTCTCAGAGCCGCTTATTGCAGGACTAGCAGGTCTGTTCCCTTAGCATAGTTTCTACCCAAGAAAAGACTCCTCTTTGTAAATCCGGGAATCATTACATCATTTCAAAGAACAGGGGAAACACACTCAAAAGGGAGACGGTAGGAACTCAAATCCGGCAAACCTAGCTTCAGCCTCAACATGCCAAAGAAGAAAAGACGGGCACTTTCTGAGCTCTTACAGTGCTAGGAGCACTCACACGCCTCATCTCAATCCCCACAAAAATTCCTTGAGGTGGGAATCCTCCCCATTTTTAGAGGAGAAAATCGAGGGTGACAGATGTTGAGAAACTTGTCCAAGATGACTTCAGAAGTAAGCCGAGCACCGGGATGTGTGTGAATCCGCCTGTCACTCAGGCTCTGCTGGCAGGCCGCCTCTCCCCGCTCGCCCTCCCATATCTGCTTTATTTTTCTTCATGGCTATTATCACACCTGTTATTGCATGATATGTTCATGTGTGTGTTCATTTTCTGTCTCCCCACAGGATGTAAGCCTCTGTGACAGAGACTGTCCACCTTGGTACTGCTGTTTCCCTGCCTGGAGAACAGCGCTTGGCACCCGGTGGACATTCAGTCTTCAGGGCTGGACCAATGGGAAGAGCAGCTCTATCTGCCTCACCAACACCACCGCCAAAAAGTTTCCCCTCCACATCTGCTCTGTCCTCCCCCTCAGAAACGCACAACCTCCCTCCTAACCCCAATCTCAGAGGTCACATAAACCAACATAGAAATGGCAAAAAGCTCTGTGTCTTCTCAGAAGGGGAGTTGTAGGGGAGGTTAAATCCCTGGAAATCCAAGAAAACTCTGCTATGTGTAGAGACAAAGGCAAAACTGTTCATGTTTGGGGAAGCGATGGTTTATTACGGACTTTCTCCCTTCTTAGGCAGGAAGGCTTCAGCTATCCTTTCTATCCTACACTCATGTTGTTTTACATCCAATCAAGTGCTTGGAGATTTGGGATGCTGAAGGAACACGGGGCGGGGGGGGGGGACGACTAATGAGAAAGTAGATGTGGCACAGAAAGCATTCAAAAAGCACAAAGCCTTCCCTAAAGTTAATATAAGGATAAACCAGATTGGTGGCTCCCAAGCCCTAATTACCTAGGACAATGCTTCTTAAAGTGTGGTCCCTGGACCCGCAGCATCAGCATCATCTGCAAATTTGTTAGAAACGCAACTTCTCGGGCCCACCCCAGACCTACCAGAACCAGCAACTCCAGTGTTGGGACCCATGGAACTGTTTTAATACCTTTCAGGTCACTCTGATGTACGCTAAAACTTGAACATGGCTGTTTGAGGGAACTACGCATGCGTAGATCTCTGGATCCCGAAGACCCTTATTCAGCTGGTCTGGGATGGGGCCCAGGGAGATTTCAACAGCTTTTTGAGTTGATTCTGACTTGCATCCAGATTTAAAAACTATGAAACCTGAGGTCCCATCTTTCCCTGACCCCAGGACAGTGTTTTCCATTTTAAACCCATCTCCCATGATCCCCCGGTCACTCACCACACAGAGCAATGATGTGGCTGCTGTCTTCATGCACAAACTTCCTGGTGACGGCCTCCTCCATGATTTGCTTCACCTGTTGGCAAAAGGGCAGTATTGTCATTTTCTTCCTGATCAAAGGCCTGTGGGCAAGTAAATATTGTGGCTCTACCATCCTGTCTGAGTTTAGACTCTTACAGAGCAGATCACAGGATAGGAGGGCGAGGGGAAGCAAAGTGTCCTCTGCACAGATAGCTCTGAGCATCGTGGAAAGGCAACCAAGGAAAGAGATACCATCAAGCCCACCAAGCCCTCAGCACCAATGTTCCAGCCCCGGAGGAAGTGTCTGCTGTGGCGGACAGGGGCAGGATGCTGTTCGCTCATCTGTACTCCATTGGAGAAGGATTTCTGGGCAGACGCACTGTCCTTTAGGGACAAACTGCCTCAGTACGGGCTGTGCATAAACAACCTGGCCCTCTTTTTCTCCCCCTTCTCTGAGGTTAGGGGTAGGTCCATCGAGGCCTCAGGGACACTTTCCACATGCTCACAAGCCCAGCTTTCTTTCTGTCTAGGGAACACCCTGATGTTTGGGTTCCTACCCAGACATAGAAGCTTCCAAATAACTTGCAAAGTAAGCAGTTACATCTTTAAGAAAACACCCACACACACAACTTTCTTTATTGGCATGTAAACATATAGAAAAGGGTATATATCACAATTATACAGCCTGATGCATTTTCAAATGGAACACACCTGTGAAACCAGCATCCAGATTTAGAGACAGAATACATGACCTGCACTCCTCATGCTGCCAAGTTTCCTTCTAGTCACCACTCCCCTCAAGGGCACCACTATCCTGCCTTCTAACAACACAGTGTAGTTTTGTGGGTTTCTGTACTTTTACTAGATGGAATCACTCAATGTAGTTTTGTGACTGTGTTTCTTTTGCTCCCTGGTGTGATTGTGAGATTTGTTCATGTTGTGTGTAGTTGTACATTGTTCATTCTCCATTGTGTGAACACTCCACAACTGACCGGCATTTGGGTAGTTCCCAATTTAGGGCTGTCATGAATGGTGTTGCCATGAACATTCTGGATATGTCTTTGGGGGAACACAGGTGCTCATTTCTTTGGATTTATATTTTCAGGCAAGGAATTTCTGATGTATTATTTTCCACTTTACTAGCTTTTGCCAAATTGTTTCCAAAGTGGTTGTACCAATCTACACTCCATCAGCAGTATATGAGGTTCTAGGTGCTCCCACCATGTAAGCCAAGTGCTTTTGATGTCCTGGGGGAACTGCCAGGAAACAGATACTAATCCTAGAGATTAGAGGAATGGATTACCTCAAGCCCAGTGTAAAATCTTTCAGATAAAGTAAGCTCTGGGCAGAGCTAGGTTTCGCCATTCATTTTGGACAGGCGTGAAATGTCCCGATGCTGCCCTTGCTCCTAAGTCCCTCACCTAGGACTGTACCGTGAGAAGCGTGGTAAAGCACCTAAAGCCTAGGGGTAGGGAGGTAGGAGATGGAGGCTTCTTCTTGCTGGAACTGCTCATGGTCAGCGGTTAGGTAAAGGGGGTTCAGACCCATCCTGTGCTCTAAAAAACTCTTAAAAGTGCCCTGGCTGGTATGTCTCAGTGGCTTGAGCACTGTGCAGCAAACTAAAAGGTTGCTGGTTCGATTCCCTGTCAGGGCACATGCCTGGGTTGCTGGCCAGGTCCCTCGGTTCTCCTTCCCTTCCCCCTCTCTAAAAATAAATAAATAGAAGCTTAAAAAAAAAGTCACAAAAGTTTCCTGGATTACTTACCAATGGGTGTTTGCATTAAACAGAGCATAACATCACAGCTCAAAAATTTATAGGCATCTGAGGCCAGAATGGCAGTTTTAGGTTAGGAGGACCTACAGATGTCCCTAGAATTTGGATACCAGAGGCCCACTGTGAAAAATCAGACTTGCCTACAATTATCCCCACTGTCTCTACTTGTGAGAGAAGAAAGGATATGTTTCTCTTGAAATCAAGGATTGAAAGGGGAAGGGAACTAAGTTCAAAGCAGGTCTACTTTTGTCAGGTAATATACATAGCTGTGGCATATTCTGGACATTCCTCACATTTGTTTAGAATTCATTCTTAGAGTTGTACAAACAGCCTTCTAAGTACTGAAAAAAGAATCACTGTCTATGTCAAAAATCTTTCATATCATCTCTGACCAACCCAAAACTTGGATCACACTAACAATCCTAGCACCTCTGACCATAGTTTCGGTATGGCTACTTTTTTGTTATTGCTTATATTGTTCACGTAAGTCTCTCTCACTAGACTACTTGTTTCCAGAGGATAATCTCTGAGATTTGAGATTTCCCTTTTCTTTGGGAAGACCAGAGTTGAGCTTAAGTGCTGATTTGATATACTCCTAGCCTAAAAAACTTTGTCTTGGCCACAGCAAAGGTACAAAGAAGCTTCTCACACACAGCTGGAAAGGTTATGGCTTCAACCACTTCTTAGCCAATGAAAGGGAAAGGAGCAAATGTTAGGGCACAATAGCCAGGCCACAGTCAATGCAAGAGAATGGCCTAGAGTCCTCCAGGATTCTATGAGAACTGAGTCTTCTCCAATCCTGAAACTCTAGGAAACACTATGGTAAACTTCCATATGTGAGGTAGATATAATTATCCCTATTTTAGAGACGAAGAAATTAAGACTCAGAGAGGTTAAGTAACTTATTCAAGATCACACAGAACTAGGTCCAGACTATTCTAAAATTTACACATTGTTACCTTCTTCGTAGTTTTCAAGATCAGTAGATTTAGTTACCAAATCTAAGGCATCAGAGTGCCTACTGTGTGCCAGGCCCTGGATACAGAGTAGAGGACAAAATAGAAGGGTCTCCTGCCTTCGTGGAGTGTACACCTCCGGCAGACACGGAGGTAGGTCAGAGTTGTTCATGGCTCTAGAGGCCTAATCTATTCTAATCCACACTGCGGGTTTGAGCTCTGGAGCTCTCCAGCTCTCACAAGGGGGTGAGTCATTCCTTTGGGCACCCCCCACCAAATTGAAATGGGCTTTAGGACAGGGTCAAGGTGAAGGATGCTAGTAGAGGGGCCTATTTTTCTCTTTCCGTCATGGAGGAGGGATGCTCCTCAAAAAGGGAAAAAACCTGAGTCTGAAAAACAATTCTCAAACTCGCCCCCCACAACCCTGTCTCTGGGTAAGGAGGTGGGCGTGGATTGAGAAGCAGTTAGGTGAGCGGCGAACCCTCCGGCAACTGCCACTCAATTCCCAGAAGGATACCAGAGTGGGGTATAGGGCAAAGAGGGGCTAAGTCCCCAAATCACGGGTTCCACCGCTCTAGGAGGCCAGCGCGGAGCCCCGCCCCCTCCCCAGTCCGCGCGGGCAATGAATGAGCAGCCTCAGTTCTCCAGAAATCGCCGCCACCCCTCCCCCGACCTGGGTCTCCTAGCGCAGCTGCTGTCACTGGGCGGGGAGCTGCAGGATCTCGGAGCAAACAAACCCCGGAGCACCGGCCTAGCCCCTCCGGCCGAGGGGCGCTGACCCTAGAGTCCAGAGACCGATGGGAGCTTCAGCTAGTCCAGGACCCCGCCCCCGCCCGGGGGCCTGCGAACGCCCCCGCGAGACCGTGGGCGGGGACCTTTCCACCCCTTGGGCCGTCCGGGGAGTGATGCGAGACCCCGGGGGTCCTGGCTCAGACTTTACCTCCTTTTTCACGTTCCACAGCAGTTTCTCTTTGACTGCGTGCTCCGCGCTGCCCATGGTGCTGCGGGTGGCAGAGAGGCTGCGCCGAGCGGCCCCTTAAGCCCTCCACGAGCCCTCGCCGCCTCCGCGCCTCTCGGCTCAGCGCCCCACGCGCAAGGCGGAGACCTCGCCCGCTGAGCTCCCCGCCCGCCGCCGCCGCCGCCGCCGCAGCCACTGCCCGTTGCTCGGCTCCGCAGCCATCTTCCGAGCCCAGCACAGACGTCAGGCAGCTGGCCCGGCCCCTTCCCACAGCCGGGGGGCGGGGGGTGCGCTCAGCGACCCAGGGCTGCCGCCCGGGCGCGCGCCACGCCGGCCGCTGTCATGGCAACACGCCGGCTCCAGTCCTCAGGGCGCTAACCCGCATTATGAGCGCCTGCAGTCAGGCCTGTACTACGACCCGCGGCGAGGCGAGGCGCGCCCTAGACCCTGCGGCTGGCTGAAGAGAAAGTTGCTCGAGCGGAAGCTGGCCTCAATCCAGCTAAACGCCCCCCTGATTTCTATTCGCTCGTTTTCCCGACGGGAAGGTCCGGGGGCCCCGTGCGCCTCCATTCTGGCTATGGGGAAGGCAGTAGTCCTCTGGCTGAAAGGCCGGAGCTCCATCATTAGTCTAAGCCCCCTGCCCTCAGTTGCAGATTGTCGGTTGAGGAGTGAGAGCACAGAAGACCTGAGCCTGAAGAGGCTGGCTAGCCTCCCTCCTCCGTAGGGTCATTATGCCCAGTTCGGTCTTGAAGCTCTGTGGGTGAGACGGTCTTGCAGCTCCGTCATGCCCAGTTCAAGAGGGGTAGGCGAGATTTGGGGTAACTAGGACCCGCGGGAACTTGTGCAGAGGTCGTGAAGTTTAAAGAAACGCTTTCCACGCAATTTGCCTTTAGCAGACGCCCACGAGGAAAATGAGGGTGAGAAAAGGTTGCTCAAAGTGACAAAGCATATACTACTGCAAACTGAGGTGCGGCGTATAAAACTAGTTGAGGGGTTCATTCAGCCTTTGCCGCACGAAAGGAGAATCTTACACTCAACTTCTTTGTAAGTGATGCAACTTGATAGAGCAAAAACTGAAAATACAGGTGAGCAAAACACCCTCCGGTGCTAAAAGTGCACATTTAAAGTCTACATTCACCGTTTTAAAGCCCCTAACCGCAGACAGACGCGTGGGAAAAGTTTACTAAGCGGTTTTGTGGACACGCGGGAGCGGCGCTATGACAGGCTGGTGGGAAGGACCCTCGCTAGAAGACTGGCGGATATTTGGTCCAGCCACGAGGAGGACACGCCCCCAAGGACGGAACCGGAAGTGCCTTGTCCAGACCGGAAGTGGTAGTGATTCGGTACACGTGAGCTGCAGGATGGCAGCCCACCGCTCTGGTCCGCTCAAACAGCAGAATAAAGCTCATAAAGGCGGGCGGCATCGAGGTCGTGGATCCGCGCAGCGGGATGGCAAGGGTGAGAACATAGGGTTGGAGGAAGATGGGCTGCTGAGTCGATTTTAACTGCTTTTGTCCTTGCGGAAACTCAGCTCCCAGCCCGGCCTGGACCCAGTTTAAAGGCTGTAGATGGATGGAAAGAGGTCCCCTTTCTTCACCTCCTTCTGGTGCCCGGCACAAAATCCCTTTATAATCTTCCTCCAGGTCGTCTAGCACTGAAAAGCCTAAGTAAGAAGGTGAGAAAGGAGCTCAGCAGAGTAGACCAGAGGCACCGCGCCAGCCAGCTCCGAAAGCAGAAGAAGGAGGCGGTGAGAGGAGCAGGGACTGGGGATGGTGGGCCTTCACAATCGTCCTAGGCGGATAATGACTCGTACTAGAAAATGTGACCCTGGGAAGGGACCGAGGTGGATAAATAACCCTAGAGCACGTCTCAGTGTGCAGGTCTAGACTCATGCTAGAGCATTCTTTGCTTTGGTCCGAGCCCCTGCCCCATTCCTTGATATACTCGTCGCGTTTTACAAGAGATTCGGGAGGGGTGGTGGTTGGGGGAAGAGTAGGACATTCGTAGTGTTGTTGGAAGGGCAATATTAGAACAAACTACTAAAACATTGAGGTGTTCTCTGGTCTCTGGTCCTTTGTATTTGCAGGTTCTGGCAGAGAAGAGACAGCTGGGCAGCAAGGATGGCCCTCCTCATCAGGTACTCGTGGTTCCCCTGCACAACAGGATTTCTCTGCCAGAGGCGTTTCAGCTGCTTCAGAATAGGGACACTGGAACAGTACACTTGAATGAATGGGGAAGCACCCACAGCTTTATGCTGTTATGCCCCGTCTTGAAACATCGATGGTTTTTCACATCTGCCAGGCCAGGTTAGAGTATACAGTATTTTCTATCATTATGTATTGAATAGTGGTGTGTGTGTGTATATATATATATATATACACACACACACACACACTTTTTTTGTTGTTAATATGTGCTGGAACTGACCACCTCTTTTTACTGACTTTGTTTTCAATATTTAGGGGATCTGCACACTGTACTAGACTTGGCTAAAGTGGCCGATACCATCCTGTTTCTTCTTGATCCACTAGAAGGCTGGGATAGTACTGGGGATTATTGCCTTTCCTGCCTCTTTGCCCAGGGCCTTCCCACCTATAGTAAGTGATTTGGGAATACTGGAGACCATGGAAAAGTGATTTAGCATTTATTGTGCTCCTATAATTGTTTCAAGGTGCTTACAATTTTCTTTTTTGATTACAGTTTACATTCAATATTATTTTGTACAAGGTGCCTTTGTATTTCTGGATTGCCCTTTGCCCAGAGGAAGAAGAGTATAAAGTTTGGTTTTACTTTGTAATTTCTTTAAGGCTGCTGAGTGTCGGTTTTCGAGTGATCTCTAGGTTCATAACTGCTTGTTTTGTGAACTTGCTTGGGGGATTTTCATGTAGTGAAGCAAGAGGTCATGAAGCTCTTTTCTCTTTTGTTCACAGCACTAGCAATCCAGGGGATTTCTGGCCTCCCACCAAAGAAACAAATTGATGCCAGAAAGAAGCTAAGTAAAGTTGTAGAGAAGCGCTTTCCAGATGACAGACTCCTTTTGTTAGACACTCAGCAGGAGGCAGGAATGCTGCTCAGGCAGTTGGCTAACCAAAAGCAACGGCATCTTGCTTTTCGAGATCGGCGGGCCTACCTATTTGCTCATGATGCTGACTTTGTGCCTAATGAAGAGAATAACTTGGTGGGGACCTTGAAAATCTCAGGCTATGTTCGTGGACAAGCTATGGATGTAAATAGCTTGCTGCATATCATTGGACATGGTGATTTCCAGATGAAACAGATAGATGCCCCCATGGACCCTTTCCCTTTAAATCCTAGAGTGATCAAATACCAAAAGAACCCAGGCGTGGCAATGGAGGTAAGATTGATATTCTTAAAAGACTATATTGCAGATTCATCTGTAAGCTGGTATAGGCTGGGTGCTAGTTTCAGAGAAGGTAGTGTGCATGCCTAGACAACTACCCTAGTCCCTGGAAGTGACTGCTAGTTTGAAGTAAGGTGCTAGTGAACTACTAATACCTTGCTAGGTTACATGTTTATCCAGCACTCTGTAGATTCCTTACACAGCAGTTGGCTCTTGTGTCTTATAGAAGACACAAGAGTAGTCTCTTTCCTCAGACAATTAGATCAGGAAAAAATGGCAAACACGTGAAGTAAAGATTGAGAAAATGTGGGTGAGGTACAGACCTGTTGTGGGAGTTGAGAAAGTAGACTGACAAGCTTCACAGAGATCACACTTCAGCCAGGTGTTGAGAAGGATGAATGGGATTTATGAGTCTTAGATGAAAGACTATCCTAGAACATAGAGATAACATAAACCTAGCATAATGATGGATCAAAGGGTGTCTTTGAACTCTGAAGAACAATCAGCTGGATGGGAGTAAGGTATAAAATAAACAGATACAGCCCTGGCTGGTGTAGCTCAGTGGATTGAGCACGGGCCTGCGAACCAGACAATCGCAGTTTGATTCCCAGTCAGGGCACATGCCTGGGTTGCAGGCTGGTTCCCTGCAGGCCAGTTCCCAGCAGGGGATGCATGAAAGGCAACCATACATTGATGTTTCTCTCCCTCTCTCCGTCCCTTCCCCTCTAAAGATAAATAAATAAAATCTTAAAAAAATAAATAAATAAAATAAAATAAAATAAAATAAACAGATACAAGTGAGGCCAGATTATGAAAAACCTCAAGAGCCAAGCAGAGATTTATGAGTAGACTTAAAATACTGGGAAATAAAACCATTTGCAAAAACTCCACAAGTTTTTGTTTCATTTTATTTCTTTCATCTTCTACTCGAGGACTATGTTATTTTCAGATATTTTGGTTATTATTGCTTCTCGGCCTTTTGGCTAAGATCAAGTGTAGATACTTTGGTTACTATGTTAGACCAGTAGATTTTTGGTTAATGTTTGACTGACCATCACCTGCTTTTGGTTTTTAGATTTGTACTACAGATGCTGTAGCTGATATGGAGGAAGACCTTAAAGTCTTAATGAAAGCAGACCCTGACAGACAAGAATCTTTGCAAACAGAGGTTATCCCAGATCCAATGGAGGGGGAGCAAACCTGGCCCACTGAGGAGGAACTGAGTGAGGCAAATGGTTGGTAGTGGCAAGGTTGTTTTTACAGTAATTCATATGGCCTGGAGTTGTGAGGTTTGCCTAGCTGCTCACAGTTAATAAGTGGAGTGGGATGAGAATGTATTTGGAGGTCTGTCTCCTCTCACCCCCAAATGCTATATATAGTGTGCTTAGTGTTATTATTTGCACTAAGCAAATATTGCACACAGCTTTGCTCAATTTCTCAAAATTACTTGGTATTGTTTTCTAATGAATAGATAAATAACTTTGGATTCATTACAAGGTTTATTTAGTTGTATAAGTATTCAACTTACACAACTAAGTAATTGTATTACTAGCATTAGCAATCTAAGTAATTATATTACTGCCTCTTTGAGGCAGGTGAATTAAACTTGGAAGTAGTAGTCTGTTTTGCTCATAGTGTCTGCTAGAATTTCTAGTGTTTTGATTGAGTGAGAATACCCAAAGTAATAGGGGAAAGGTGGTATATAATTACTTGTTTGGGCTTTTACAGATGTCTTGAAGGAAAATTCCAAGGTGGTAAAGAAGGTTCCCAAAGGAACATCCAGTTACCAAGCTGAATGGATTTTGGATGAGGATGGTGAAAATAGTACAGAAAGAGATGAATATGATGATTTAGAGCATGAGAATTTCATGGAAGAGGAATCTCAGGTGAGGAAATGGTCCGATCGGACACTTCTGTGTATAGCCCCAAATGCAAGGCAAAGTGCAATCCTAACCTTCAGGTGCATGTGTGGTTAGTTTTTCAAGAATGACTTTGTAGTTGTCGGGAATGAGATTAATTTTATGACCGGAGTGTCTTAGAGTTGAAACAGTTTGGACTAGGTGCCTAATAAAGTTATTTTATTCTTAGTTTCAGTCTTTTAGGGTAGAGGTAGGTATGGGTGTCTTCTGAAAGTGTAATCTTTTTAATTTAATTTTTATTTTTTTAAATTTAATTGTTGTTCAAGTACCTGCCCATGACCCCCATCCCAGCCCACCCCGCTGAAAGTGTAATCTTACTCCACAGGATGAGAGTAGTGAAGAGGAGGAAGAGGAGGAATGTGAAACTATGACAATAGGAGAGTCTGTGCGTGATGATCTGTATGATGAGAAAGTGGATGAAGAGGCTGAGGAAGAAATGCTGGAGAAATATAAACAAGAAAGACTGGAAGAGATGTTTCCAGATGAAGTAGATACGCCCCGTGATGTAGCTGCTAGAATTCGGTCAGTCAAGTCCAAAATCAATCAGTAAATTTTAACTTAAAATTTATGTGGCTCAGAGTTGTATCAGTGTGGTGCAAAAGAAGAAAACAGCCCTGACCAGAATGGCTCAGTTGGATGGGCAACCTCCCACAAAGCAAAAGGTGCAGGTTCTATTCCTAGTCAGGGCACATGCCTAGGTTGTATGTTTGTTCCCCATTTGGGGTGCTTAGGATGTTTCTCACATCATTGTTTCTGTCCCTTTCTTTCTTCCTCCCTTCCCCTCTCTCTAAAAAAATTAATAAAATCTTAAAAAAGGAAAAAACTGGCCCTGGCTGATGTAGCTCAGTGGATTGAGCGTGGGCCTGTGAACCAAAGTGTCGCTGGTTTGATTCCCACATGCCTGGGTTGCAGGCCAAGTCCCCAGTTGGGGGTGTGCAAGGGACAAACACACATTGATGTTTCTCTCCCTCTCTTTCTCCTTCCCTTCCCCTCTCTCTGAAAAATAAATAAGTTCTTTTTAAAAGAAAACTGTTCTGCCTCCGAAGAGCTAACATTCTATGGGAGAAGATAAAACCTACATTCAGGAAACAGTAATGCATTATTAGCTTTTAAACTATGTGGTATAGACAAATAATGTTACTATAATGACTGAGAAATACTCAGATTAATTTGCAAATGCTTCCTATGTGAACTAATACTCAATTGAAGTAGTGTTTGGAGATTGGGGGAATTTGGGTGGAACCACAAAAATAAAAGCATGGAGGTGTAAGTGATCATTTCTGCTCTGGGGGTCAGTCGGACTAAACCCAGAGAGTTAGTTGGATATTAGAGAAGGAAGCCTTTCATCAAAGGTTGTGTTCCTCAGGTTAAGGAGCCACTCCCTGATAGGTACCAGTAAGTCACTGTAAATACTTCATCCTTTGTCAGTGAGAAGCTTGGGTTTGGTTTAGAAATACTTGTTAAAAACTGTTTTTGGCCCTGGCTGGTGTAGCTCAGTGGGTTGAGCTTGGGCCTGCAAACCAAACAACTGTGGTTCGATTCCCAGTCAAGGCACATGCCTGGGTTGCAGGCCAGTTCCCAGCAGGGGATGCACGAAACGCAACCATACATTGATATTTCTCTGCCTCTCTCCTTCCCTTCCCCTCGCCTCCCCTCTAAAGATAAAGAAATAAAATCTGAAAAAGTGTGGTCTTGATTTAGACTGCTCCATTATCTTGGGAGATACTGGTAAGAGTTACTTTTAAGTTAGAGCCTGAGCCATTTTATTGACTTGAGTGAAAGGGGAAGTAGCACCATATAAATTTGACTAGAATTTTTTTTCAAAATCTCCTATGTTCTAGATTTCAGAAATACAGAGGCCTTAAAAGCTTCCGCACATCTCCATGGGACCCTAAGGAAAACCTTCCTCGAGATTATGCTCGGATTTTTCAGTTTCAGAACTTTACTAATACTAGGAGACGCGTCTTTAAAGGAATTGAGGAAAAAGAAGCTGAAGGAGCTGAGGTACCTGCCTTCGTTTATTGACGTCTGCAATTTGTTCCCAGTTGCCAAGGTGCCCCCTCCTTCACTCTTCTTGGCAAAAGTCCCTTATTTGGTTTTGTGCTGTCCATACCTGAATTAGAGGTGCCACTGGGTCATTGATAAGAGTGGTATTGGGAGCAAAGAGGTATCAGAAATGTTAACTAGAAAAGTTTAATCCGGAGAGTTGAGGCATCTGTGAAAGGCAGTTTTGAAGGGTGAGGGTTGGCTTTAGGGTAGTATGAGACTTTTAACATAGTATGAGAACTGTTTCATCATTTTTGAGGCCTTAAGGGTAAAAGTGTGATTGTGCCCTGCTTTCTTCTGGCAGGTTGGCTGGTATGTCACACTCCATGTCTCTGAAGTACCTGTCTCTGTGCTTGAGTACTTCAAACGAGGAGCACCCTTGATCGCGTTTTCTTTACTGCCTCATGAACAGAAGGTTAGTATTTGGTGGGAAATGGTGGGAAATGGGAGTTATGAAACTTTCTGACCAGTTTTGCCTGGTAGTCTAAAATTTTATGACATGCATTTTGCTCATTGGATTAGGAATAGGGGTGACAGAGAAGTCAATGATGGTTTAACCCAACATGTCTGAACCTGTCTGAAGCATCTCAGTGATGCATCCTGTGTGGAGATGACTTCTCTGAGATGATTGTATTTGTCAGATCAGATTTTAACCAAGGGTTGGCCGGTTAAAAACAGAAGGTTTTTGCTGAGGTGTAGATCTCTTTTCTCTTGACAGCCAGCAGTCATGTAGATTGGAATGTATGTGAGACCTTTGGTCTTCAGCCAGTGAAGGTAAGGGTTGAGAAAGAGAAGGGGCTTGAATAACTGATTTTGAGTGAGTGCCTTGAAGTCACTGACCATGTGGCAGATACCGAGCCATTGCATGTTAGACATGAGAGTGTCAACTAGTATAGAAGGGTAAGTGAAAGCTGTGAAACCAGCCTATGTTCAGCTCAAATGCCAGTTGTTGGTGGAGGTAAAAAATGAATCTGGCTCTCATTATCTATACTACACTATGAATTAGCATAGTCAGGTTTTGTTTTTTTATTTTTATTTAAGATTTTATTTATTTTTAGAGAGGGGGGAAGGGAGGGAGAGAAACATCAGTATGTTGTGGTTGCCTCTCACACACCCACAACTGGGCACCTGGCCTGCAGCATCAAACCAACAACGCTTTGGTTCGCAGGCCAGTGCTCAATCCACTGAGCCATATCAGCCAGGGCAGCGTTGTCAGTTCTTAAAGTGAATCTGAATCTGTCAGTTTTGTTTGCCGCCTTTCAGGGTAAGCTGTTCTAGATACGAAGTACTCTTTTTCTTACTTGGCCCCTAGATGTCAGTACTGAATATGGTAGTAAGTCGGCATCCTGGCAACACTGAACCTATAAAAGCTAAAGAGGAGTTGATCTTCCACTGTGGGTTCAGGCGCTTCCAAGCCTCCCCTTTATTTTCTCAGCACACTGCAGGTAAGCAGTGGGGAACCTTCTGGGTTCTCGTCTATCCTGTTGTCTTTTGGGGGCCTATAACTATTGGTGGGGAGGTATAGAGTACACACTTTCACATTCCAGGCCTCTGGGTTAGAGATATTTGCAATACTGTGGTTTAGGAGCCAATGATGTATTTATTCAAAATGTCTGAACCTGTCTGAAGCATCCCAGTGATGCAACTTTTGTGTGATACTGAGGCTTCTTTGTCATGAGTATTTATTCCAAAGTAGGTGTGTGTGTGTGTGTGTGTATTCACTTTCAGAGAAAGGGGAAGGGAGGGAGAAAGGACAGGGTTGGGGGAGACATTGGTGTGAGAGAGAAACATGGATCGACCTGGGCTGTAACCCAGGCATGTGCCCTGACAGGGAATGGAACTGTTGGCCCTTTAGTTCACAGGTCAGTGCTCAATCCACTAAGCCACACTAGACAGGGCCCCCAAAGTAGATTTTTTTTTTTAAGATTTATTTATTTTTAGGAAGGGAGAAAGAGGGAGAGAAATATCAGTGTGTGGCTGCTTCTTGTGCACTCTCTACTGAGGACTTGGCACCACCCCAGGCATGTGCCCTGACTAGGAATTGAACCGGCGACCCTTTGTTTCACAGGCTGGCACTCAGTCCACTGAACCACACCAGTCAGGGTCCAAAGGAGATTTTTCATCAGAGTTGGCCACTTTATAAAACTGATGTGTCAAAGTATGGAATCCTTGGCATCTGATACACCAGTGGCAGTGTTGGTGAAGGCTAGTGGGTTGCCCACAGTTGGGTAAAGCAAGAGATGTGTGGTTTCTGAGATGTTGAGACTGGATGGGTGTTTGGAGAATGGCGACCAAGGACACTTTGATGGCAAAAATTATTGTACTACATATTAGGAGTGGGAAGCGGTTTTGTGTACTAAGTTGAGGGCTTATGAACATCACCTACACACCCTTAGCTCATCAGTGGCCAGAGGAAAATGATGAATGATGTGGGAACTCTGGGCAATTTCTGTTCTCATCAGCCATGCTGTCCAAACGAGGGATTAACTGTTCTTTCCCTTAAAATATTTTATTTCCCTTGACTTTAGTATTGAAAAAAAGAGCAGGGTTTCACTGAAGGTAAACACAGAAGCTTCAGATAGTTCTCAAGATCAGAGGTCAGAAAATCATGGCCCTTGGGCCAAGTCTGCCTCACTGTTTGTGAAGTTGGAAACTTTGCCTTTTTTTAAAAAATATATGTTGACTTGGCTATTTTGTGCTGCAATGACAGAATTGAGTAATTGGAACAGAGACTGTATAGGCCACAAAGCCTAAAATACTTACTCTCTGGTCCTTTGTAGAAAATATTTGCCAATCCTCACTCAAGATTAAGAGGTGTCAATTTAGTGGACGTATTCTCTATAAAGCACTGGTTCTCAAATGAGGTAAGGGTAGAATGTATTAGAATCACTGGAGAACTTTTTCAAACAGAAAATATAGTCCAGGCTCCAAGATTCTGTCTCGAGTTGAAAAATCACTGATAGGTTGGGTTATATCTTACAGGTACATTGAGGCAGGAAAATATTTTGAGATCTAGTGGGGTAAAGAAACATAAGTTGCCTTGGATGTAAAAGCTGCAAAAATACAGCTTTACACAGGCCTCTGGGTTACCTATGGTTCCTTTAAATGTTTCTGGTTTTCATTTTTTAACCCTTATTATGACAGCGGATAAACATAAATTTCAGAGATTCTTGACTGCTGACATGGCCCTGGTGGTGACAGTGTATGCCCCCATCACTTTTCCTCCCGCATCTGTGCTGCTTTTCAAACAGAACAGCAATGGTAAGTTGAATTCACAGAGGTAAACAGACCTGCAGGTCCCCAACCGATGGAACATGGGTTTCTGTATTTCAGTTTGGGAGTCAAATGATATGGAGGTGATAATAGTTTTCAGAATGTCCCAATCTCAGCCTCTCGGCGGGTCTAAGGCAAAGATGACAAATGGGGTTTAATCTTGCATGTAAACTTGAGCTCACTGGTAGAGACTGCTCAGTGCTATATTTCAGACAAGTTCTGGGGACACGCTCAGTGGGAATATCACTTAATGATATTTGCTGTGGACCCATGAAGGCAACATAGTACATCCATACTTTAAGGTTTTCCTAAGATCTATCAGAGGTCTTTAAAGTGGACTAGAGCAGTAAGTGCTTTGGCCTGTAGACTCCCGCTGCTCTGCTTTTGCCCCTTAGGAATGCACAGCCTCATTGCCACAGGCCACCTATTGTCTGTAGATCCAGATAGGATGGTCATCAAGAGAGTTGTTCTGAGTGGTCATCCTTTCAAAATTTTCACTAAGATGGCAGTGGTGCGTTACATGTTCTTCAACAGAGGTAGGTGTGAGGGTTGGGCTCTGATTGCCTATGTGGGTGAGGGTTGGGTTTCTGTTTTGAAGGTAAATGTTGCATCTTGGTCTTCTGTGTATTTCATTCTAAGAGGATGTGCTGTGGTTTAAACCGGTGGAACTGAGGACAAAGTGGGGCCGCAGGGGACACATCAAGGAGCCTATAGGTAAGAGAACGTGGCATTTGGAACATGATTTAGGTTTCTGTAGTGCTACTAAATCACTATTGAGGTAGAAGACCATCAGTAAAATTTTTTATTTTAATTTGACTGGTTTGCTGTGTTTTCTTTCTAGGTACTCATGGCCATATGAAGTGCAGTTTTGATGGGAAGCTAAAATCTCAGGACACAGTACTGATGAACCTCTATAAACGAGTTTTTCCCAAATGGACTTATGATCCATATGTACCAGAACCAGTACCTTGGGTGAAAAGTGAGATTTCTTCAAAAGTGCCAGAAGTGGACATGGAGTAATGGATTCGGTGGGATTCTGTCTCATTGTTACTAGTTAGCAACCTAGGGAGGGAACCTACAGGTTGTAATTGGGCAAAGTTTGTGTCTACTTTAGCCTAGAAGTCTGCTGTCCCTTTTTGCAAAAGGTTTTTCTTTGCCTTGATAAGGTGTCTCAGATAAGTATGGATGTTTTTTGATTGCTACTTCATCCAAAAAAACTATTAAATCTTACTGAAATACACACTCTCCATTAGGATTTTGAAAGCTCTCTAAGATGGGAAGTTAATTGTGACTAGGAAACAAAATTAACAAGTGTCTGGAGACACTGAACCCCATTTCTTCCTTATGAATAAACTAAACAAAAACAGATTGATAAGGAGTTGGCCTTTCAGCCTGCTTCATCCAGGTTACGGAGGTTAAGTCTACATTTCCACCACTGAGCACAACACAAATGTTCCTTACTTCTGGGGAAATCGTTTGAAAATGCTGAGACAGAACAGCAGCCACTCCAACACCAGCTGTAGGTTCAATAAGCAATTTCATCCTCTCCCACACCAGTTGGGTTGCATACTGTTGGTAGAGAAGGGAGTAAGAATTAGTGAAATGGGGGGAGGAAAGCCTAGTTGCTGGGCCTTTTCAATTAAAGCCTAATTAGTACATGTATGTACATATGTACATATATACATACATGCTTGCCAATGAAGAGCTGTGCTTTTTCATTCTAACTCTGCTACTGTTGAGGGCTCTCCCAATATCTCAGGTACCCTCCCCCATGTCATGAGTCAAGTCCCCAGTGGATGAGTTGCTACTTATAAGAAGTATCTTTTGGTTAAAAAGTTATTACATTATTTTGTTAACTTTCTTTCCTGTTGGCGCCTTACCTTGATTTCATCCTCTCTGACAGTGAAGACTTCGTCCACGAGGTCCCTTATAATAGGCCAGGTATTTAAGCCAATGCTGGATTTGACACCATCTGCTATGGTTTCTGGAGGATAGGGGTTGGGGGTCAGTTCCCCTTTCAGTTTGGATTGGTAGCAGTCATCTGCATTCAAGGGTTCAGCAGCATATACCTTCACACTAGGTCTCAGAGCCTGGGAAGAGGAATATTAGACATGTCACCATCAGCCACGTGTTTTGCCTGCATGCCTGCAGTAAAAGAGGCAGTACAGGTAACACATTTCTAACCAGGCAAGAGCCTTCTCTGTGATATGTAATGAAAAATTACTTTAAAGCACTTAAAATTGTGTGCCTAATAATGGCCTTCATTTGCCTAGGTCACATGTGGTTCTATTGGTAACTTGGGAAAACAGCCCCTGGCGTGAACAGAAGGTTGGTGAGAAGGAATTGAGGGAAAGGACTGATAGGGTGCTACTCATTGTAATTGCTTTTGTGCTGTAAAGTCTCAGATTAAGAAAAATCAGATAGTGTGGTAGAGAAGAGTCTTCAATCTCAAGTGCTAAGAAATGATGGGAAGGAACAGCAATTCAGGGGAAATGTTAAGCAAGTGCCACATTATACTATGATGGGAAATAAAACCCTCTGTGCCTAAAGTGGGGAGTCTTCCAGGAGTTGTTTTCTCACCTTAACTGTAATTGCAATTCCAGCAACCATTCCTCCTCCTCCTACAGGTACCACCAGTGCATCTACCAAGGGAACCTTTAGTGAGAAGAATGTAAAGTATAAATAGGTCTGTTAAAAAAAAGCCCTGGCTGGTGGGCTTTTTAGCTCAGTGGCTTGAACAGGGGCCTGCGAGCTAAGGAATCATGGATCGATTCCCAGTCAGGGCACATGCCTGGGTTGCAGGCCAGTTCTCAGTGGGGGACACACGAGAGGCAACCATACATTGAGATTTCTCTCCCTCTCGCCTTCCCTTACCCTTTAAAAATGAATAAAATCTTTAAATAAATAAATGTTAAAAAAAATAATCAGTTTTTTATGTATAGCAAATAGTTGATTCTATAACCAAACACCAGATTTACCACTAGCCCAGTAAGAACTGATGAGGCTTACCTGGTTCAGCACTTCCATAGCAATCGTCCCCTGCCCAGCTATCACTGCAGGCTCCTGGTTGGGATGTACCATGATGCCTTCTGTTTCTTCCATAATTTGTTTTGTAACTTTTTCTCTGGCCTGAAAGCACATTAATTTAGCTTACTTGATTTGTATTTAGTAGTGTTTCCAACAAGTTAGCTCTCATTTAATGCTTTATTGGCCACCTCCTTTTTTGAGACTGGGCATGGGGGACATATCTGAACAAAACAGTCCCTGTGCTAAAGGGAGCTGTGTGCTGATGGGGGGGCTGGGATATGTAAGTAAACAAATGGTTATGTCTACATGCTATGGAGAAAAGTTAATTCACACAGGGTACCTAGGAAGGGCCTCTGGTAGAGTGACATTTTAATAGATGTGAATCGGACCTATCTCTAGAACATTCCAGTGAAGTAATTCCAAGTGCTAAGACTACAAAGTAGGAGTGCTTGGCCTTTCTGAGAAATTGCTGAGTGATTGGTTTGGAGTATTAGGGGGAGCATAACAATAGGGTGAGATTGGAAAGATAGGAAATGGGCCAGTTCATCTAGGCCTTAGGTGATTAGAACTTCGGTTTCCACGGTGTATGAGGTGGGAAACCATTGGCGGATTTGGGGCTGACAAGTTCTAAGTGGATAGATCTGGTTGCTCTTTGAAAACAGACTAGTGGGACAAGGGTGGAAATGAAAGGCCAGTTAGGAGGCTACTAAATCTACATGGTAATGGTAGAGGGTGTTACAAGTAGTTGGATGATGGAAATATTTTGAAAGAGCTAAGATTTGGATGTGGGATGCAAAAGAGTTACCAAGATGACTTTTTTTTGAGCAACTTAAAAGGATTAAAGTTGCCATTTACTGAGATAGGTGAAACTGGATGAAGACTAGTATAGGGCGAATAAGATGCGTGGGTTTAGACACAGCAAGTTTGAGATGCCTAATTAAGATATCCAAGAGGGAACACTGGGTAGCTGTTGGATATACACATCTGGGTTAAGGGCAAAGGTCAGGGCTGGAGTTAGCGTGTAGGTGGGCAGTACTTTATAAAACTAATAAGATCATTTGAGTAAGTGTAGATAGAGAAAAGGTTGGGTGTGCCAATATTTAGAGATAAAGGGAAAACAGGAGTGAGAGGAAGTATCCAATAAAGTAGGAAGTTTCATTTGACAGTGAAAACTTAAGGTGTTACTGAACATGGCTCTCTTCCTCACCTCATCACTCTGTTCACTGAACACTATGGAGGCTCCATAGGCTTGTATTCCCAGTTTTTTACAGTTGGGAGCTGTCTGAGGCACCACAATATAAGCAGGAATTCCTGAGATGGACAAACACATTCAGTTAGTATAAATCAGGAGGATTTAGGATAGAAGTTTCTGTTCTGTTGCTTGTAATCAGATACATACTCATTCACTTCCCACAGCTATCATTAATCTCACTAAAAGTAAGGATACTTTTCCACTTTTTCTTTTTTTTAAGATTTTATTTATCTTTAGAGGAGAAGGGAAGGAAAGAGGGAGAGAAATATCAATGTATGGTTGCCTCTCATGCATCCCCTGCTGGGAACTGGCCTGCAACCCAGGCATGTGCCCTGACCGGGAATCGAACCGCAAAACTGGTTTGCAGGCCGATGCTCAATCCACTGAGCTACACCAGCCAGGGCTTACTATTCCACTTTTAATGATCCTACCCAGTACCCTGAGAAATCAAGTACCTTCCAATTTGGCAGCATAGGCAAGAGCCTGACCATGATTTCCACTGCTGTGAGTAACAACAGCTTTGGGCTTTTCTGAAGTGGCAGGAATCAAACCTCTGATTGCATTGAGGGCACCACGAATCTAGAAAAAGAAGAAAGTGAAATTTATGTATTTGATTAAAGTTTCTTTTAAAAAGACCAAGGAGCTTTACTAGATTTTCTCTAACACCATACATTCATTCCATCACTAAATCTTAACCAATTCTACTTTCTAAATATCTCGCATGTGTCTGCTGCTACCTTGGTGAAGCCTCATTGCTTGCGTTACCAAACCTCAACTGATCCCGCCTTAAGGATCATTCTCATCTAATATTTCCACTAGGTTATGAAAGTGATCTTTTAAAAACAAAGATTATCTTTTTCTTTGCCTTTTTTTTTACAAGTTGCATGTAGCCTTTCAAATACATGTACTGCCCCTCTCAGTGTTGTAGGCACCAGAATTTGCTTCTAGTTTCCCTCTTACCAGGTTAGCTCACACCCCTGTACCTCTAAGTATGCTCATATTTATACCTGTAGTATTTTTACCCACTCCATGATCTGGTTAAAAGTAGTCATCCTTTAAAACTGATCAAACATCATGTTAACTTCCTTGATCTCCCAGGCAAAATAAGTCGCTTCATTCTCTTTCACCGCACTTTGAAAGTCTCTCTCTCAAGACTCTCAAGACATTCCTCATAAGTCTATTTGTTGACCAGCCTGTCTTCCCCTGCAGGATACAGGGCAAGGCCTACTGTATATATGCCCAATAAGCCATGGCTGAAGCAAAGGGCAAGAGAGAATGGAGAGTTTTTGTTCTGTTTTAGTATAAAAGCTCTCAGTTAACGGGAGAGAGGAAAGGTAGATTCTTGAAGTCCTAGAGCTACCACTTCATAGGTGCTGACACAGTACTAAATGCAGCTTTCAGATTTTTACCTGAAAGGATCTTAAAGTTCAAGTAATGGTTAGAAAATCCAGGTAATGAGTCAACAACAGAAGCCTATCTTTTTGCATAGGAAAGACACTGACATAGTTTGTGTAATAAGACTACACAAGGATTCAGTTGGGTTTAGACATTTTATATTCAGAGTAAGGTAGTCAATAGCAAGTTGACACCAAGTGAGTGCTTACACTTGGTTATGCAGTGGTCACGTGTGCCCGTCTTGCCTTGTAACAGTCCAGTCTGCTGTCTCCGTTTAATTACTAGAAGTTCCTTCTTTCATTCTCACGTCCAAGTTTATAGTCAGTAAACTAGATCGCCCTAATTATAAGCAATGTTGAGATTGTGTACAAGTGGCTCCTCAACACCTGATGCTAAGTAACAAAGTTGGTCAAAGGAAAACTTCTAGGACCCTTTCTTCAGCTATAAAAAGGTATGAATTCTATCTACCTCACTGGGTAGTCAGGAGGATCAAATAAATTTAATATATGAAAAGGGGTTGAAAAGGTACATGACACACTATCAAAAGGGATTTTTACCTTAAAAGATCCAGTTTTCTGGAAGAGTTCACATTTGAAGAAAAGATTGCGCCCTGTTACTTGATTCAAAATGGAGCTAGTTAGCACTGGTGTAAGGTGGATAAAATCTCGAATGTTGATATGAGCTTTTTCAACATCAGCAAAGGAGATGCAGTACTGAGCACACATGGTTCTGAAACCTGGGAATAAAAAAGGGGCAAAAGCAAAGTCCAAGACAATGTGTTCATTGAAAAGGTTTTGAAAATGCAAAACAGTTCCATAGAATATATAGGAGTGAACTACAGTGCAAACCATGAACTTAGGTGGTAATGTATTAATGTAGGTTTAATGGTAACAAATGTACCTTTCTGGTGAGAGATGTTGATAACAGGAGCAGCTATGCACGTATGGGGCAGGAAGGCTTATGGTAAATCTCTACCTCTGGATCAATTTTGATATAAAATTTAAACTGCTCTAAAAATATTTTAAAAATACAAGAATATGCCTAACATAGGAAAATAGGCCTGGGGCCTGTGGTGTTAATGTGGGAAGTGTCTCCATTACTGGGGCTCCAGAATCTTTGTATAAAAGGGAACTTATCTTGAAGCTGAGTTTCTTAGTAAATATAAGGTTTTTTTCTGGCGCTTTTTTTTATTGAAAAAATTTATTTGAATTGTTGTTCAAGTACAGTATTCTGTCTTCTACTCCCATCCCAGCCCACCCCCCTCTGATGAAACTTCATTGGAAGTAATTGGTGATGAGTATGGAAGGCTTTATTAAATTTCACCTCTTATCCACACCATCCATCACTTGGTTGCCACTGGTCTCTATATTTTCATCATTGTAAAGAACTGCATTCAAAATTTGCTATAAATTTTTATTTTTAAAAAAGTATTTAACAATGAAAAATTTCCTACATTCCTATCATAGTAAATTATGATCATTTTCTATGTTTCCATTTTTTTCAATATACATACTTTATGTGGCAGTTAAAGTCAAAGCAAAAATAACATTTTGTTTACTACTCCATTTGGCTCAATTTCTTCAAAGTCTTCATAATTATAATTTTTAGTAACTATTATGCTTCCATTTTCAGTACTTTTATTGTAGCATTTAACCATAACACTTCTCTTTGTTTTTCCTTATTAACTAACAAACAAAGGCAATGAATGGTCAACAGAAAAACAGAATTTAATTTGTTTCTTCCCCAAACACAACTGCTATCTAAGCTCTGGTGTTTATCTTTCCAGACTCACATATATATGCAAACAAAACTTGACAGGTTTGGTAACTTTTTTTTTTGACGGTGTTATGAATATTGATCTTTGCTTATCAATAGGTATACTTATGCAAAATTTAAACAATTTATTGCTTTTAGAGAGAGAAAGGGAGATAGAGAGAAATATTGATTTTTTGTCCACTTATTTATTGCTTGATTCTTGTGCCCTGACCAAGGATTGAACCCACAACCTTGGTGTATTGGGATGGTGCTCTAAAACAACTAAGCTACCTGGCCAGTGCTTTGTAAATGGCCTAATACTACTTAATACTACTTTTAAAATGGCTTAATACTACTTTTTCTTTTTTTTTCTTTTTTTTTTATTGATTATGCTGTTACAGTTTGTTCTATTCCCCCTTTCATTCCCCTCCACCCTACCCCCCATCCCCACCATTACCCCCCTTTAGTTTATGACCATGTGTCTCAAGTCCTTTAGATTCTATATTTCCCATGCTATTCTTGCCCCCCCATCTATTTTCTATCTACTGTCTATGCTACTTATTTTCTATACCTTCTCCCCTCTTCTCCTCCTCCCACTCCCCTGTTGCTAACCCTCCTTGAGATCTTCATTTCTATGTTTCCACTCCTGATCTAGCTGTCCTTTTAGTTTGCTTTCGTTTTAGGTGTGGTTGTTAATAACTGTGAGTTTGTTGTCCTTTCACTGTTCATGTTTCTTTAACTTCTTTTTCTTAGATAAGTCCCTTTAACATTTCATATAATAAGGGCTTGGTGATGATGAACTCCTTGAATTTAATCTTATCTGAGAAGCACTTTATCTGTCCTTCCATTCTATTCTTTAAAAAAAAAAAACAGAAACAAAAACATAGCTTTACATAACTCTGTGGTTGAACATTTAATTTTGGGGGGCTATAATAAATAATGATGTAATGAATAATACTGTTGTTGCAAGATCTTTGTGTATCTCCATGCCTGCTTTGGGTAGATCCCACCAAATGGTATTTTGCATCAAAAGGCATGCACACTTCTGAGATATTTGATACCCACCCCCGCCGCCAAATTGATTTCCAGAAGAGTTGTAGATTATACCATTTTATACTCCCAACAGCAGTTTCCAAGGAATGTCCATTTTCCTTCATCTTTGCCACATCATTTTTGTCTGTCAATTTAATGAAATGTCTAGTAGTTAGAATTTTGTTTTCTTTAAACAGTGATTAAACTTTTTTTTTCTGTATATCTATTGGCCACTTATTCTTTCATGAATCTTTAGCATACCATTACTGGCTGAATCATCTTTTTCCTTTGAAACGTTACATTTATCAAAATTAAATTTTTATTAATGTTTGGGCTATTCTGGACTTCATATTTTGTTCCATTTATGAGACTGCCAGTTCCTTTTTCAGTTGTTCATTGTATTATGTTCTTCCCTGATTACTCTTTGAAAATTTATTGGCTTTTCTCACAAATAATTCTTCCAAAGGAACATTCGACATCCTTCATTAAGGTTGTCAGAATTTCCACTGTAAAATGAACAAGTGAATTGGGGGTGTGACTGACTTTTAAAAAAGAGTCTTCCTGCCCACAAACATAGGTGTCTTTCAATGTAGTAAAATTGAAAGTAAATTTAATAAAGTAAAATTTAGTAAAGTTTTTGTTTTAGGTTTCTCAGTAAAGTTTTTATAGTATATTTGGGTCCTGTACATATGATTAAATTTCTGCCTAGGTACATTTTTGTTACTTTTGGGGTATTTCTTTCCTTCGATTTTTATATTGCTTACTGGTGATATATATAAAAACTAATAATTTGCATAGTTATCATGTAATGTGATATTTAATAGACTATCTTGTTATATCTAATAATTTTATAGTTCATTCTTCAAGTAATCATGCTATCTACAAATCATTTGTCTTTACCTTATACATACCCCTCTGGTGGCCCTGACCAGAGTGGCTCAGTTGATTGTGTGTCCTCCCACAAGGCAAAGGGAAGCCAATTGATTCCCAGTCAGGGCACACACCTGGGTTGCAGGTCAGGATCAATGTTTCTCTCTTATATCAGTGTTTCTTTCCCTCTCTTTCTCCCTCCCATCCCTCTCTCTAAAAACAAAATCTAAACAGAAAAAAATTTTGTAAAAATATTTATCTTTAGAGAAGGAGAGAAATATCAATGTATGGCTGCCTCCCATGAGTCCCCCGCCGGGAACTGGCCTGCAACCCAGGCATGCGCCCTGACCGGGAATCCACCCGCGATCCTTGGGTTCACACGCCTGAGCTCAATCCACCGAGCCACACCAGCCAGGGCAGAAAAAATTTTTAAAAATATCCCTCTGGTAACTTTTTCAGTGACTTCATAGTTACTGGTTTAATGTAGATTTGCCACCTCCTCCTGAATTAATTTCAGTAACATTCTTGGCAAAATAATATCTAATTTAAAATTAGTATAATATACTATTAATATTTCTAAGTATTCTTCATATCTGTGGTATTCACTCATTTATTCATTCATGAAATACTGAGCACTTTCTATGTGTAGGATACTGTTTGTTTGGGGTTACAGTTTTAGACAAATAGACTTGTCTTTGCTCTCATGAAGCTTATGATCTAGTGAAATGATGTGTAATAAGTTATCCCCAAATGACCATGTATTTACAAATAGTGATAGGTGATATTAGGGAACTGCGTTATGATAGGATACTATAATATGGGGCCTTATTTAGATCAGGTAAGGTCCTCTATGGAGAAGTAAATTTAAGTTATGACCCATGAGATGAATGGGCAAATAAGAAAAGTGTTTCAGGTAGAAGAAAAAACATGTGTGAGGCTTTAAGGAGGACAAGAGGTTGGCATATTCCAGGAACTAAAAGGAGGGCAATGTATCTGAGAAGAGTGATCCAAGGGCAGTGTGATAAGAGGCGAGAGTGAAACTGGTTGGCAGGGTCTAGATTGTAAGGGACAATGGATCATGGATTTTACTTAAGAGCAACAGAATGCCATTGGAGAATTTTAAACAGGAAAGTGACAGGTTGGAATTCATATTTTCAGAAAATCACTCTTATTATTTTATGGTGAATGAAAAGGAAAGAGATACGAGTGGTATCAGTCATTTCAGCTAAGTAGTGTTATGAGTTGTCCACATGAAAGACAAGAGGGACCTGGATGATGAAAGTGAAGGTAGAAAAAAACAAACACTCAAGATACATTTTGGAAAAACAAACCTTATTTAAAAAATGGGAGAATCTTGACTGGTGTGGCTCAATGGGTTGGGCATCGTCCTGTAAACTGAAAGGTCTTTCATTCAATTCCTGGTCGGGGCATGTGCCTGGGTTGTGGTCCAGGTCCCTGGTTGGGGGTGTGTGTGAGGCAAGTGATCCATGTTTCTCTCTCACATTGATGTTTCCCTTATTCTGTCTCCCTCCCTTCCCCTCTCTCTAAAAATAAGTAAAATCTTTTTAAAAAATGGGTGGACTTATATAGACATTTCCAAAGAAGATATACATACAAATGGCCAACAAGCACATGAATAAAGATGCTCAACATCACCAATCATCAGGGAAATGCAAATTGAAACCACAATGAGACAATACTACCTTATGCCTGTTAGAATGACTATTATTTAAAAAAACAAACAGGAAATAAGTGTTGGCAGGGATGTGGAGAAACTGGAGCTCTTGTGCATTGTTCGTGGAAATGTAAAATGGCGTAGCTACTATGGAAAATAGCATGGTAGTCCATCAAAAAGTTAAACATAGGTTTACCATATGACCCAGCAATTCCACTTCTGGGTATATACCCAAAAGAATTCAAAGATCTCAAAGACGTATTTGTACACCTAGGTTTATAGCAGCATTATTCACAATAGTCAAAAGTGGAAGCAATCCAACTATCTCAATTTTTTTTTAATTGATTCCAGAGAGAGGAGATGGTTGGGAAAGAGGGAGGGAAACGTTGATGGTTGCCTCTTGCATGTGCCATGAGGACCAAACCTGCAACCCAGGCACGTGCCCTAACCAGGAATCAAACCCTGTGACCTTTTCATTTGTGGGATGACACCCAACCCACTGAGCCACACCAGCCAGGGGCCCTACTATCTATTGACAGATGAATGGGTAAACAAAATCTGATTTTATATTTATATATATATATAATGGAATGTTATTCAGCCTTAATGAAATGGAACGTTGTTCATGCTACAACATGGACAAATCTTGGGGACTTTATGCTAAGTGAAATAAAAAAGACACAAAGACAAATACTTATGATTGCACTTATGTGACGTACCCAGAACAGTTGAATTCATAGAAAGTAGAACGGTGGTTGCCAGAGGCTTGGGGAAAGGGCAGGAAAGTTATAGCATTAGGGTATAGTTTCGGTTTTGTAAGATGGAAAGAATTCTGGAGATTGGTTATATAACAATGTGAATGTATTAACACTATAGGACTGTACATTTAAAAATGGTTATGATGATACATTCCATATTATTTGTAATTAACCACAACTAAAAAAACACACAGAGAAAAAGTTACATTTTGGAGATTATAATTAGGCCTCTTGGCTGCAAGTGATAGAACCCCAATTTGAACTGGCTTAGGCACAAGATAGATGTGATGAGATTTATTGGCTCATGGAACAAAAGGAAGAATTAAACAATGGGAAGGGCATGGATATGGACCTTCAGGAACAACTGGAACCAGGGATTTGAGATTTTCCAGGACTCTCTGCTTCTCACCTCTGCTGCTTTCTGCATGTCAGCTTCATTCTTTTTCATTGCAGATCAGTTCCACATGGCAGGATGCGTGGCTGCTGACAGCTCCTGTGTTTTACATTTTATGGCTTCCACACTGAAGAGGGATTTTCTTTCTTAGTTTCAGTTCAAAAAATTCTGGGTAAGGACTCTGATTGGCCCATCTTGGCCCAGGACCAGTAGCCAAGGGTGTGAGGTCATTTAAGACAATACAATGCAATAGTCAGAAGTATGTACAGAAACATGAAAAAGAAACAGAATGATTCCTGTAACACATTATCAATAATGTACATTTAAAACACATACATACATAACATACTATATATTATTTTAAAATATGTGTGTATCCAAGGACATTTTTCAGGCATATTAGGGCGACGACTTAAGTGGGGAGGGTAGGAACATAGTAGGAATTGGAATGAAGGGAAAAAAGATAAAATGAGAAAGGCCTTGATGATGTGAACCAAACAGTATGATTGCATTAAATTTCTGTACCTGAGGGAAAAGTAGAAGCAAATAAAGAGAGGGAGACAGTAAGAAGGAAAAAAAGAAAAAGACAAAAAGAAAAAGAGAAAGCATTTCTGTGAGTGAGGGGCAATTTTTGAGAAAAAAAGAGGAGGATGTTGAGGTGAAAAATTCCATAAATATCCACTACAGAGACAGAAGAGACAGATCCTAATACTGGATTGAATGTGGCAAGTGAGAGAGACAAGAACTCCTGGGTTTTGTCTTGGTGGTAATTTATTGAGATATAAGAATGACAAATAAGTATTTTAGGAAAATCAGAGATTTGATGAGCTAAGTTTGAATTACTTATGAGACATCTGGGAGGATGTTCTTTAGCTTTTTTGTTGTTGTTGCCAGAAATGTGTGTATTTTAATATCTACTTTATTCCTGAAGAATGAGCTCTTCAATTTATTTATCAAGTACTGTTCTTTCTCCCTTATTAATTTCTGATTTTATTTCTTTCTTCTATGTTCCCTGTAATTTTCATTCTTTAAAATTAATAATAAAAATACCTGAATATTGCTTTAACAATATACTACAGGTTTTGTGTACAATATTTTCATTAACCTTAACTTCTAAAGAACCCATGATCTTAGTTTTGTTTATTTTTTGACCTATGAGTTAATTAAAACTGGTGTTTTAAAATTTTTCCAAATGCTTATAATTTTTAAATTTGTGGTTATTCATTACTCGTTTTACTACTTTATGCTTGGCAATCATGACCTGTCCAATTTTTGTTTGTTGTTTATTGATTATGCTCATAATGTGACCAAATCCCCACTGGAATAATTTAAAACATTATAAAAATGTATAGGCCTTTTAGTCTCTTCCATTAAATTGACTCTCTCTTCCACAAAGATAACCACTTTAAAAAGTTTGGTATGTATTCTTCCACAGCTTTTCATAAATTTATATAGAAATTTACATATGCAATAAATAGGTTTTGCTGCACTCAGAGTCATACTCTATAAACAGGGGTGGGCAAAAGTATGATTACAGTTGTTTGTATGGAAAATACATAATAATACAAGAACAAACTTTGTGTTTCACATACTCACAGTTATAAATGTACTTCTGTCTACCTCTGTATTCTGCAACTAGCATTTTTTAAACTAACATAACATCTTGAAAACTGTCCCATGTCAACACATATTTCAATTTTTAAAGTGGTGGAAAAAAATTTTAAAGAATTAAAAAAATTTGATTCTTAGAGTAAGGGACAGGAAGAGAGAGAGCGGGGAGAAATTCTGAAGGAGGGAGGGGGAGGGAGGGGGAGGGAGGGAAGGAGGGAGAAAGGTAGGAAGGGTGGGAAGAGAGAGAGAGAGAGAGAGAGAGAGAGAGAGAGAATTTTTGTTCTTATTTATGCATTCATTGGTTGTGCCCTGACCAGGGACCAAACCCACAATGTTGGTGTATTGGGATGACACTCCAACCAAATGAGCTACTTGGCCAGGGTCATATTTCAATTCTTTAAACTCAGAAGCTTTCATTTGATACAGGTCTAAAATATGGTTGTCTTTTCATTTACTTTTACCTGGTATTTCATGCGCTCTTTAAATCTGAGGGTCGAATTTAAATCTTCTTTAGAATATTTTATTTAATATTAGTGAGAGGGGAAGGGAAGGAAAGAGGGAGAGAAACAATGATGTGTGAGAGATACATGGATTGTAGCCTCTCACATGCTCCCAACCATGGACCTGGCCCACAATCCAGGCATGTGCCCTGGTCAGAAATCAAACCAGCGACTTTTGGTTCACAGGCTGGTACTCAATCCACCAGGGTGAATTTAAATCTTAAATTCAAAATTTCCCATCCAGTTAGTGAATTTTTTTTTTTTGACCATCGAAAGAATTTAATGTATAAACAAACAGCACAGGAAATGTGAATTTTCTTGTATTATTTCTTTGATTAATGCTCCTCCACAGTCAATTCTGTTACCACCTTCTGGAGTTCATATTTGATTATTACTTTTCTGAATCCATTCTCCATGTCTCCTATCCTTACCTCTAATAGTTTTGTCTATTATTATATTTTCATTCTAAATTCTGGTAAATTTTCTTGAACTGGTTTAACTTCTGCATATCTCACCTGCAGTTCACTGACACTATTGCATTAATTTGGCAACAGTGTTTTTCCTGTTCACACAACTTTTCTTCAGATTATTTTTCCATCTTAAAAAAAAAAAAAAAAAAACCCCAACTGATGAAATGTCCAATTTCATGAACCTTCCTTCCTATTTCTTTCTTATGTTTTAAAGACTGTCATTTGCTCTGACCACTTAAATCACTTCCCTTTATTTGATTTTTATTGGGGATATACTGGTTAATAAAATGACATAGGTTTCCGGTGTACAATTCTAACACATCATCTGTATATTGTGTTGTGTGTTCACCACTCCAAGTCAAGTCTCCTTCTATCATCATTTATCCCCTTTACTTTCTTCCACCTCCCCCACCTCTCCTTCCCTCTGGTAATCACTATATTGTTATCCATGTCCATGACTTTTTTTTTCTTAATCCCTTTACTACCATCCCCTGCCCACACAGGCCTCCAAACTGCCTCCTCTCTGACAGCTGTCAGTCTCTTCTCTGTATCTATGAGGCTGTTTCTAGTTTGTTAGTTTAAAAACAAGCTAGATTCACCCTGACTAGGTGGCTCAGTTGGTTGGAGTGTCATCCCTACACCAAAAGGTTGTTATAGGTATGATCCTTGGTTAGGGCACACACCTAGGTTGCAGGTTCAATCTCTGGTGGGGGAGTGTATGGGCGGCAACTGATTGATGTTTCTCTCTCTCACTCTCTCTCAAATCAATAAAGATATCCTCGGGTAAGGATTAAAATAAATGAATAAATAAATAAAATAAACTAGACTCATTATATTCCATATATAAGTGAAATCATATGGTAGTTGGCTTTCCCTGATTGGCTTGTTTCACTCATAATGTTCTCCAGGTCCATCAGTGCTTTTGCAAAAAGTAAGATTTCCTTCTTTTTATGGCCGAGTAGTATTTCACTCCCCTACTTTTGGACCATTGAATATTTTACTGTACCTTACTGACTTTCTATATCTGCTTAACCTTCTGGTGGCAAGTGTCTGTCATGTAATAGGAACTGAATGAGTTTCCTCAGAGATGATTCAAATCCTTTAGGTCCACTCTGAGGAATAATTCATAACTATTTAAAAGCAGGGATGTCCAATTTTTTGGTGTCTCTGTTCCACACTAGAAGAGTTGTCTTGAGCCACACGTTAAATAACAAACACCAACAAAAACTGATGAGCAAAAAAAGGTTTTAAATACATTTACGATTCTGTGTTGGGCCACATTCATAGCCATCCGAGGCCATGAGTTGGACACCCCTGGTGTAGAGATTCAATAGCCTGCAGGGATTGGAAGGAGCAACAGATGGAGGAAAGCAGCAGCCTTGGGGCATGGTGTTTCATCACAGTTCTGAACGGGAGCTACAGAACAAGCAGTTAAAGTACCAGTCTCCTGATTTAAAGATGGGGAGAAAAAAAATCAAACTGAGCTCCAGGGAACTCAAGTAAGTAATTTTTCCAAAAATCCAATCGTACAGAAATTCACAAACCGACTTACAATACCTCCTGATTTACTTCCACACTAACCCTGCCCTCAGCAAGAGCCAATTACAGTGTACTTTTTAAAAAAATATATTTTCTTTATTTTTTAGAGAGAGGGGAAGGGAGGGAGAAAGAGTGGGAAAGAAACATCAGTGTGTGGTTGCCTCTCATGTGTTCCCTACTGGGGACCTGGCCTGCAACCCAGGCATGTGCCCTGACTGGGATCGAACCAGGGACCCTTTGCTTCAGAGGCCTGTGGGCCATCCACTGAGCAACAGCAGCCAGGGCCAATTACAGTGTACTTTAAAAAAAAAAAAAAGGCAAGAGGTTTGGGGATGTACTTTACCATAAAGGAGAATACTTGGATCTGGTACTCATCAATTGTATCACCCAGGTAATATAGTAAGGTTCTCTGAGATTTCGCTTCCTCATATTTGAGGACGGGGGGGTGGTGGTGGGAATAACAATAATTACTCTTACAAGACCTTTAAGGTCCCAAAATAAAGGCCTGGGGCACTAGTCCGGCCCTGTGGTGGGAGACCCTGGCCTAAGGTGAGTGGAGGAGGCCGGACTGTGGGTTGTCTTTGTCAGCCCGAGCCCCAGACCAGCATCAGTATTCTCAGCAGAGGCAGTAGTCACCGCCGCCACCGCCCGCCTATCCAGACTTCGCCCGGCCTCACCTCACCTCAAAGGCGCCGCGCCTCCAACTCCAGCCTCTGCTCACCTTCCCCCGACACCGCCTCTGCGCATGCGCAGCGCCCGTCTCCCACGCCCCGGCTCACGTTCCGTGTCTTCCCCACAGAAGTGCCTGAATGTTTTTCCTCCCAGTGCGGCCACCGTCGTTTGGGGAGGAGGGCGGGAGGGGGCGGGGAAAAGGGTGGGAGGTGGATGAGCGCGCGCGCCGCTCCTCCGTCGTGGTTTCCTGGCTGCGCGCGGCGGTGGCGGAGTAGCTGCAGCTGTTGCAGCAGCAGTGAAGATGGCGGAAGGGTTGGAGCGTGTCCGAATCTCCGCGTCTGAGCTGCGAGGGATCCTGGCCACTCTGGCTCCGCAGGCCGGGAGCAGAGGTGAGTCGCACCGCCCAGCTCCTGGGCCGGGCCTGCCCGCCCCGCCTCCCTCTCCTCTGCCTCCTCCCTGCTCCGTTCGCTGCGCTCTGGAGCCCCCGCCCCTTCCCTCAACTGTGGGGGCGGCGGGCGGAGGGCTGTCCTTCTCCCCGCTCTACTAGCCCAGGGTCTGTGTGGGGTTCCGCTCAGCCAGCTCGGGCCCCCTGTGGACAAGTCCAACCCTAGTGCCTGCCTCCACCCCCTTTCTTACAGAGAAGGTGACTGTTCCCCTATTGCCCCAATCGTGTTAGACAGCCCGAGGATTCTCAGCCGTCAGGAGACAAGACAAGGAGTGGGCGCTGGGGTCTGGTGGAGGCCCCGGCGTGTATCGTTCACAGAGCAATCGTCTGCAGGCCTGCCCTGTCACCTATTTAGCAGCGTTGGAGAGAAGGAACTGAGGAAATTGTGGAGGAAGGAAGCTTGGGACTTCCTTGCTGAACTTTTTTACCCCAAGACAGCTTTCTGAAGACTGCGCCACTGAGGGATCCAGGACCTCAGTTGACTCTGCTCTGGTTTGGCTTTGGCATGTGTGGGTCCTGTTTTTATCAGAGAGAATGCTCAACTTGCAAGTTAAAGTCTAAAGTCTCTAGGCACACCAGGAAGGCTCCTACGAGGATTCTAGTGTCTCCCCTTTGTTAGGCAGTGGAGTTGTGTAGAATGGTAGTTATGCTTCTGCAGACCTGTGGCCAAAGTCTATAAAATTGGTTTTCGTTGGTCAACCGAATTGAGTTACTCAGGTTGTTTTCTCCCTCTGCTGTGGAAATTAGTAGTAGCTCTTCTTCCCTCCACTTCGCCTACATTACAAAGGCTGCTGAGGGTGATTTATTCTGGAGTTAAACTGCTTTATTTTATTCATAGTTGATGAAGCAGTCTTTTAAACTTCTGATAATACTGGAACAATATCTTAAACATCAGGGGTTTTTTTCCTTCTGTTTTGTTTTGCCCATAGGTGTAAATGCCACAGCATGTGATACCGATTATGAGTTTGTTTACATGGATGTTTATAGGACAATACTAGGATTTTATATAGCATTCTATTTTGTGTGCTCTATAATCTCAGTAATCCCTGTCACTTTTTTTTTTTTTTTTTAAGATTTTATTAATCCATCTTGAGAGGGGAAGGGAAGGAGAGAGGGGGAGAAACAATGTATGGTTGCCTCTCATGTGTCCCCCGTGGGAAATTGGCCTGCAACCTAGGCATGCGCCCTGACTGGGAATCAAACTGAGATACTCTGGTTCACAGGCCTGCGCTCAATCCACTGAGCTACACCAGCCAGGGCTTGTCACTTTCCCATTGAAATGTTTAGTGGATATTTGTAGTAGTCTCTCCCCTTAATAGATAAAGGTAACAGAAACAAAAAGTAGAGACTTGCTAATCTGTCATTAAGTAAGTTCGTGGAGCCCGGAGAGTGACTTCTGAAGTCCTGTGCTCTTATCCTTATTTTAAAAAAAATATGTATTGATTTTATTTTTTAAAAGATTTTATTTATTTACTTTTAGAGAAAGTAAGGGAGAGAAACATCAGTGTGTGGTTGACTGTCAGGAGCACCCCACTAGGGACCTGGCCCACATGTGCCAGGAATGTGCCATAGGCTGGGAATTGAACCTGTGATCCTTTGGTTCACAGACCATTACTCAGTCCACTGAGCCACACCAGCAAAGGCTATATATTGATTTTAGAAAGATCAGAGAGAGAGAAACATTAATTTGTTGTTCTACTTATTTATGCATTTATTGGTTAATTCTTGTGTATACACTGAACCTGCAGCCTTGGCATATTAGGATGACATTCTAACCATTTGAGACACCCAGCCAGGGTCATGTGCTCTTCTTATTCTTGAGTGCCCTCAGTCTTTGGTATTTTAAGAGCATGTCACAATACTTTCATCATCTTCCAGGGAAAGCTCTCTTATGGAACTTTTTCCTTCTCATCTTCCATCATCATAGTAGCAGTTAGTCTCAGTATTCCAATGATGATAGTCTGAGCAGTATTTCCTTGGAATAATTCTGTTGGCTGCTGTTAGAGAGCTGATGATCATGAGTGGGGTTGAAGAATGTGAAAGGAACTGCTTCCAGTTGGCTTCTACAGGAGGTATATGATTGGGTAATTGGTATCCTAAAGAAGAGGATTGTTCTGGCCAAGTCCAGAGACTGGACTTGCAATTTTTTTCTCCAAAGATGTCCAGAACCATGGGTTATTATGCATATCCTGCCTTTTCTCTTTTTTCCCCATCTTTTCCTGCTAGTATGTTAAAAGGACTTAGCCACCCTAGAAAAACATTAGAGGCAGAAGAAAAGATTAAAGGAGACCTTAGCGCTCTAAATTAGAGAACAGTTTAATGCTGAAATGTTTGGAAATCTTTTATTTTGACTATGATAGCATAGTTTAGAGTCTTAGGGGTCTGAATATGACTTGGTAACACAGGTTTTTTTGTTTTTTTTTTCTTGTTTTCCTATCTGGGGTTTCCTAAGAACTCCAGCACAAGTTCTTAGCCTTGCCAGTTGCTGAATAAATATTGTAAACTTAGTAGAATTTCTACTTCTGCAGAAATTTTCTTCCTTGTCTGTCAGTAATAGCATTTTGATGTATAACTCTTGCTTGATTATTCTGTTAATTTACCAGAATGACATTTTTTCTCCCTTCCCTCTTTATTCTTTTCTTCTACCTCCTCCCCACCCCCATCACTTTCTATAACATCACAGAAAACATTAAGGAGCCCAGGCAACGCAAAGATAACAGGCGCCCAGATCTGGAAATTTATAAACCTGGTCTTTCACGTCTAAGGAACAAACCTAAAATCAAGGAACCCCTTGGGAATGACGAATTTAAGGATGAAATTGTTAATGACAGAGATTCTTCTGCTGTTGGAAATGGTACACGGTTCATTAAAGATGTCTGCAAGAAACTGGACAACCAACAGCAAAATGGTCCTATGGACCCAGAAAATATTCAGGCACAAGAATCCTTTCCTAGGACTGCTGGACAAGAGGATGGAAGTCTAAGAATTATCAAGAGAACAAAGAAGCCTGACATGCAGATCTATCAACCTGGAAGGCGTTTGCAGACTGTTACCAAAGAGTCTACTAGCCGAGTGGATGAGGAAGAAATCCTCAGCCAGGTAGAACAACTGAAAGTAGAAGAAGATGAATGTAGGGGACATATGAAAGAGGAGGTTGTAAATAAACCAGACAAAAATGAGGCACACAAGAGCTTAAATTGTGACAGAATAAGGACTGCAAAGGGAGAAAAAGGAAAGAGGATCGAAAAAGGGGAGGGGATAAAGAAAGTGAATGAAGACCCAACACAGGGGAAGCTGGGTTCTGCAAAGCGCTATTCCCGCTCGGACAAACGAAGGAACCGCTACCGAACTTGTAGTACCAGCTCAGCTGGTAGCAACAACAGTACTGAGGGAACTGGCCTGAGTGATAATGGATGCCGCCGCCGCCGCCAGGACAGGGCCAAGTTGAGGCCGAGACTGAAGAAGCAAGTGTCTATGTCCTCAACTGACTCCTTAGATGAGGACAGAATTGATGAGTCTGATGGGCCCAGGAGGAGCTCGGAAAGGAAGAAACATTTAGAAAGAAGCTGGTCTGGCCATGGAGAAGGAGAGCAGAAAAGCAATGGTAAAGAAAATCGAGGTACTCTTCATGTCACTTTCGATGCAGAAACCATGAACAAAGATTCCCCCATGGTGAGGTCAGCCAGGGAGGATGTGGATAAGATAAAGCCTGACAAAGGCTTGAGTAGTGGGGGCAAAGGCTCTGAGAAGCAGGAGTCCAAAAACCTGAAACAGGAACTTCGGGGTCGTGGTCGTGGCATTCTGATTCTGCCTGCCCATACTTCCCTGTCTGTCAATTCATCTGGTTCTCCAGAATCTACACCTCTGGGACCTCGGCTTTTATTTGGATCTGGTAGTAAGGGATCTCGGAGTTGGGGCCGAGGAGGCACCACTCGACGATTGTGGGACCCGAACAATCCTGATCAGAAACCTGCTCTAAAGAGCCAGACACCCCAGTTACATTTCTTGGACACTGATGATGAAGTCAGCCCTACATCTTGGGGTGACTCACGCCAGGCCCAAGCATCTTATTATAAGTTTCAAAACTCTGACAACCCCTATTACTATCCCCGGGCACCAGGCCCCGCCTCCCAGTATCCTTATGCAGGCTATAACCCTCTGCAGTATCCAGTGGGCCCTACAAATGGTATGTACCCTGGGCCTTACTACCCAGGCTACCCAGCTCCATCAGGACAGTATGTTTGTAGTCCTCTCTCTGCTAGCACCATGAGTCCTGAGGAGATGGAGCAGCACATGAGGAACATACAGCAACAGGAACTACACAGGCTTCTTCGGGTGGCTGATAACCAGGAACTGCAGCTCAGTAATCTGCTGTCCAGGGACCGCATCAGTCCTGAGGGCCTGGAAAAGATGGCTCAGCTTAGGTATGGTGTGTTCCATCCTGGCTAAAGGGAAATGGGGATAAGCTGGGAGGTGCATAGGTTCCTATGGCTGAGGAAGTTAGAAACCTTTTGGGTAAGCCACTGGGTGTTATCTCTTTT